CCTTTAGTGAGACACAACATAAATTTACCATTCACTACAATTTGACTTAAATTGTCTTGACAATGAAAAAAAAAATAAAAAAATTAACTCAGAAATTATTAAAAAATTGCAATAATAACTTTACTCTCTTTTGTAAATAACTTTCCAACAAAGTTTCCTCTATAGATCCTAATACTCATAATCAAAAAGCAATCCTTAAATAAAAAAATACTGAATAATAATAATGATAAAAATAATAATATACATTTAAATATCGGTATAAAATACCTCCTACCATAATAGTGGGAAAACTTGCAATATATTTGTTCTGATGATGCTTATAATGTATTAAAATAAAACTTTGTGTTTTGTCAAATTAATATTAAATTGTGAAATATATAACTTTACAAATACCTCATCCAGCTCAGTTTAAATAGTTTTAAATCTGTAAAGAAATTTATAATCTCACTAAAAAGGTTATTTTAAAAGATGTTTTGTTCTTTTAATGGGTTATGACATGTCAGAGATTATTGTGAAATGATATTTGACTTGTCTTACATGTGATTAAAATGAGATTGGAGTTGCCTCCTATTCATTCTGACAGCAGCTGTCTGATATATGGTCTGACCCAAGATGGCCGCCCTATAAGCACGCCCGCCTCGCTACCGACAGCCTCCCATATAAAGATAATGGCTTTTAAAAAATGGCCAAAATGTGTTTCATGTTTCCTTCGACTTCACAATCATACTTCTTATACTATTTGAGTTATTTTATCAATTAAAGCTCCACCAAAAAAAAAAAAAAAGTGTTGTAGCATGTGAAAAAGTTCAAGGATGTCAATGATATTATAAAACAACCTTTTTTTATTTAATTATTAGCTAATGACTGTATTGAAGCTCTGACGGGTAATTATTTATACAAACGCAGAAAAATAAAAATAAATGTTTTTCAGAGCAGAATGAGTTCCTAAATAAGCTAACTCCGCTTAGCATTAGCTCTGCTGCTGGAGCTAGCTAATTAAGTTAAAAACATGTTAATAATTGGTTAAGCTCACCGTTAGTTCCTTCTTAGAGATGAAAATACTGGGAAGCCACCTTATAGGGTAGATAAAGACGTTTTCGCTGGTGAAAGTTTCCAACAGGGTCTGAAAGATGCGAAATTTCAAGGAGAAAAAGAGGTTTATGCAGAGCTGCACTTATCCATCCATCGATCCACGTGGGTGCGGAAAAACGGGGTCAAAATAAAGAAAATCTAATTCAGTCTATATTTAATTGTCAAAATCTCGCGTGAACTTGGCTTATTGCACAAATTAAAACTAGATAAATGCAAATATGCATTAATTTTTAATTGGAACTTCCATAAAAATATTACAGGTCCTTTAAGGTGGTAGAAAATAAAGTTTTCAGGATTAGATGACTTCAAAGGATAATGAAGTAACAAGGATAGTTTTTTTTTCATAATTTACAACTGGAAATCAAAGAAAATTTAGTTATAGTTATCATCTTTTGACACAAAAAGGAAAGATGGCTTGTTTTTCTTCCCATTAAAACATTAAAAACCTTATAACTACTTTTTTTTAAGGAACACATTTTGTACATTTTGTTCTCATTCGAAATGAGAACATCCAGTTCACAAAATCTCCATTTAATGTATTTAATCTAATCTCTTATGATTTTTTTACATGCCTTCCTCACCATTGTGGTGGAGCAGTGGCCCACTTTCCTCTGTAGCTTGAGTGTAAATGAATAATCTAGCAGTGGGATCTCTTTTTAAATGTGAGCTTGGCCTTAAGCATCTCCTCTCCCATAGGTTTGCAGCATAAACAGCCTCTGTAAGGTCAGATGTCTTTTCTCCTTGGTATTATGTTAAACACATTTGCATGTTTCAAACCAGTGACTCATGCTTCATAGAAGCAGCTATTTCCCCCTTTAAATGTTCTCTGTTTTCAAAGCAGTGCTTAGATTTTTGCTGCTGCTGCACCGATTGCATTGGGAGCTTTTATTTCCAAGTCTGCTTATGTGAAAAAGTGCACTTTAACCATGCAAACCCGGTCTTTCTCCAGCTTGGACCAAAAGGCTTTTTGGAACGCTCATCATATGCAGAATTATTTAGTTAACCCAAAGCAAAGGATACAATAAACAGAAGTGAAAAAAAGTGTTTAGATTTAATCAGATAAATATGTTAAGGATCTTATAAACTATATTTAATATTTGTGATAACAAAATACAAGTTTTCTAAGGCATTTAAAAATATTGGAATAAGGAAAACAAAAGTCTCTTGTATTGGCATTTTGTTTAATAGAGGAAATCCAGGATTATAGTTACAAATGCGATCAATAAAATATCCTATAGTGCCAACAGTTATGGTATATTATTTTGGACTTAAATTGACAATGACCTATTTTCTTCAATCCACTTTCAGTGTTCAGAAATCTCAACATGCATCCTAGTTCAGCATAGAGATCAAAACTATAATAATAATAATAAACAAAAAAGAAAACTAGAGAACTCCAATAATGTCTAACTTCTAGGATGTAATTACTTTTGTCCATTTTGTGTTACTTGCTTTTTAAAGAAACTAACTTTTCTCCAACTCTCTTTAAAAAAGGGATTACAAAGTATTTGTACAAAATGCAATTATGGATAAATTATTTAATTAAATTAATATATTATATAACCATTTGCAATAAAAGCACGATTGGTGTTTGCACAAGTTGGGATAAAAATGATAATACAACCCTTCAATACAACATTTGCAGGATAATTACATTTTAATTATATATACAGAATATTTTAGTGCAATTAAGTGCAATCCTTATTATTTAATTAAAGATAAGTGTGCACTATAATCATGTGGAAAAAGAGAAATTCAAGTAATCAAATCCTGTTTAAAACACTGCTGCAATAGCTTTGAAATAAATTTACTCTTTAGACATTGTATGGAAAGATAGAAAGTTTAGATCAAAAAACATCTAAACTTCAATCCAAGTTAGAATTTTAACTAAACTCAGCGAGTTTTAAGAAAACATCCACTGGTTCGACTTTCAGAGGACTCTTCTGACAGCCCACCCAGAGGTAAGGAAACACGGCCTCAGTGATGGCGTGTTTGAAGGTGTAGATATGTGCGTTGTTATGCGGGTCATAGAAGGACACTTTTCCCTTCTCACAGTCCAGCTGCACTCTGATCCTCTGCGGATTCCTTTTCAGAGTCAGCCGTGTCAAAGGAGAGGTACCGGCGAAGTACATCTTGTGGTAAAAGTACACACACAGGTAGCCATTGTTCAGGACAGAAGACACTTTCTCCTTCCTTTTGATGGACTCCTTAGCCACGCCGACAACCCAAGCCGTGTTGTCTCCCACGTTCACCTCCCAGGCGTGCTTGCCTGAGGACAGGCCGTGCCGGCCAAGAACAGCAGTGTCGGGGTCGAACCTCTCCGGGTTGTTGGGCAGCCTCTGTTTCTCATCGCTGTCATGGACGGAGGTAAGGTCATCTGACAGGACCAGCCATGGGGCCGCCGTGTTTGGATCCAGAGTAACTGGAGCTGAAGAGAACATGGCAGGGTGTCACCTCAGTGTTCTGCTAAAAATCCCACCTCAGGAATAAATCAAAATGTGGGAACTTTTCTCAGAGTAATACAAGCGCCTTTATGGTTTAATAAATCAGCATCCACTCACTGTATTGGGTGATTTTTTGCATCTTCTCCCACACCTGGAAAGTTAAAGAGCCAATGTATTTGGCAACATCTATTAGTGCCGCTGGAGCCATGACTGGATCTGCAACAGGATAATTTGCCCTGCAAAATGTACAAATAATTCAAATTCTATTAAATTCAAAACTACTTTATTAATCCCAAAGGCAAATTTATTGTTTTACTAATTCAGAGGTTTTTGTCTGTGTGAATTCAACTCATAAAAAGTTTCCTTTTACCTTGCAAGCGTGCTCTTGCATTTCTAAAAAAAAACAAAAACAAGTGAGTTAAAATTTGAAAGCAATGAGCAGGCATGCATTCCTATCTACGTCTGTTATATAAAAGCTTACATGAAGGACAGAGATGTCCTCAAGAGCCATCTCCTCCATCAAAACTCTGATAGTTTCCGACATGGACGATATATTTTCCTTGATTGTTTCAATCATTTGCCTCATCTCTCCAGTCTTCTGCTCTTCGTCCCGTTTCAGCGCCTCCATCCTCGATTCCTCCTCAACACGAAGGAAGTTGTGGAGTTTTTCAAACTCCTCATGTGTCCGTCTTTCCACGAATCGGGCCTGATCCTGAGGGATAACATTGTTTAAGTACCGTGCCTTGAAAGTACATTATACTCCTTCAATGTATTTACATTTTTCACATATTGCTCCTTGCAGCTGGGAAACTGAAATATCTTTAGTTCAGGCCTAAATGCAGAAACATCATTTGGGAAATACTAAAGGTGCAGATTATCTTATGTACATCATCCACTGGGTTATTAACACGGTGATGAAAGCATCCCTCAGAGGCTAAGCTTACCTTTAACAGAAAAAAATATGCAAGTCGGATTAACTAACTAAATTTGGAAAACAACCTGATAGCAGCTTCAAAAGATTTGTGCCTGGAAAGGAGGTTAATCGACCTGGATGACAATGACCTTAAATAAAGCCAGAGATCCAATAGAGTGGTTTAAAATCAAAGCTTTTTTTTATAGGGCTACTGTCATAGTCTGGATTCATCTGAAACTTTGTAGGAAGACTTAGAAATAATTTTTTACTAAGGTTCTGCATTAAATCTGACCGTGCTTGAGCCGTTTTGCAAAAAAAAAAAAAAAGTCAACAATTTCCAAATCCATTCCCTTAAAAATCAAGCCCCACAACTTGTAGCTGCATCCCTGCTCCAAAACTGTTAAAAGCAATGATTAATTTTCTATTTATGGCATCAAGATTCGCAAAGGGATGTATTTAGCCATTTTATTGAAGTATGTTGCAGCAGGGATGTATGTAAAAGCAGACAGTGCTCTAGATGTAAAAATCTGGTAAAAAAAAAAATATACCTTAAAGACTTGCAAATGTAACTTCACTGAAAGGTTGTTCAAATAAATAAAAGAGAGAATTCTACATAATTTCCTTCCACTTCTCCTCTATGAAGTACTCTGTGTTGGTATAAGTTTAAGATTTAGATAGCAGTAGAATCTAACATGAATAAGTTCAGCCGATAGGAGTACTTGCACAGTATGGCACAGTGAAGTACTTCACCTGAATATGTGTCACTGTATCCTCAAAGTTTTTCTTCATTTTGTTAAATGCCTCCGTCTTCTCCTGGAGGGTGCTAATAGCCAACTTCATTTTCTCCTGCAAAGACGATTAAAAGGCCAATGATGAAGTGTCTAATGGGATCCTTCCACATACGTGGAATTGACTCCTAATGTTTACCTTTACATCCAGAACTGCCTCGCTAACAGGACAGCAGTCGTGCTGTTTGTGTTTTCTTGACGTGTGGCAGACCACACAGATGGGCACTTTGTCCAACAGGCAATACAGCTTTAGCTTCTCATTATGGACGGGGCACATCTCCCCCGGATCACAGTACATTTCCCTTTCTGTTTCCTCCCTGTCGTGACTCTCCTCTTCCTGCACACAGGACTCACACAGGTTCTTTAGGGTCAGGCTCGGTACAGGATCGTCCAGATTCTGGGTTCTACACAGGGGACAGTCACGTCTTTGTCCTTTTACAGTCCAGTACTGTTGCAAGCAAGGAGCGCAGAAGCTGTGGGTGCATTTAAGGACCACCGGGTCCCTGAAGATGGTGCAGCATATTGGACAGGTCAGGTCCTCCTCAGGCAAAGACAGTCTGCCTGCCATACTGACTCGAAACTCGAAACTCCTTTTTTACCCCCTAAGTGAAAGCTGGGCAGTGAAACAAAAATGAATAAAAACAGCGTAGACACACAGACAGCACCTCTAATCTTGTATGTATCAGCAAGGAAAATAGATGAAGCTAAATCAGCATCAGAAACTCTTACAGAAGAGTTGAAAATTCACAAACAGGCCAAAGTAAACAACTGACAGTAGAAGGAAACCTACTGGGAGCTCTTCCGGCTTCCTGTAGTGCTGAGTCACCCAGAAGGTGGAGTCAGATAGAGGGGGAGGATATTTAACCCTTCAGTAGCTTTACACATCCTATTCAGTGGTTTCTGTAAAAAACAAGTTGAAAAAACAAACAAACACATCATGCATATGTGCAATTAAAAGTTGATCATAGAAATATTATCACAGAGTTCATACGAATTTGGGAAAAGTTTGGAATTTAGCGTTTTTTCATGCTGGGCCTGGCTGCCTCCTTTCCTCCCATCATCCTTTTCTCCTTTCAATAAAAATATTAAATATTCTTGTTTCCAGAGGCTGAGCAAACGGCAAGGACTAGTAGGTAGTTTTGAAACAAGAAAAGCGCATTGACGTCTTTCTAGTGTTCATAAGCGGCTTGAATTGATTACGGTTCCGTTTATTCTGGTTTAACATTTATGGTATGGATTTTTTCGGTTGTCAACTATAAGGTAGACAGATCAGAAAATCATTGGACCAGGTGTTATAGGGATGATTTTAGTAGTTTTAAAACATTAGAATATTTCAAGTGTATTTTTAATAATCGATATTTACATATCCCATGAATATGGGTCACAAAGGTTTTGGTTGATCAGACTTTTTTTTATATATATATATTCCCCCCTGCAATTTTTTCCACTAATTTAAATGTCTTTAACATGAAACATGAATTCAACACACTGTAGTAAACAGATAAATGGAGGCAGAAGATGTCTTTCAGTCATCAATGCACACATTCAGCGACGCACAGGAGCTCTTTCAAGCTGGGCACCATTTCATTCACAACACCTGTCCCATCAATGAAGAATCCAAATCAGATATACTTTTATAATCTCAGGGCAAAATTACTTTTGTTACGTGACTCCATCTGTAATTGACTATAGGACCAGTTTGATAATAAAACACAATTTCATACAACATATATATATATGATTAGGGGGTCCCCGCTCGATCTGGCCATCAGTTTGGGGGTCCTTAGCCTGGAAAACAATGAAGTCCCCTGCTCTAAGTAAAAGACAAATCTATGTTCTTCTATAAGCACTGATCCGATGGCTTGTATGCAAGCAGAATAAGACTACATAAATCAACCCTCATGTTCCACAGCCACCTTGAGGCTGTGGGGGATCCTAGCAGTCTGCAAGCTCTAGCAGCAATTCTTTTATTAAATCAGATATTATAAACAAGTCTAGTTTGAATGACATCCTTGCTTTGTGTTCTGGAAATTTTAGCTTCCTTTCAAGATCCATTATCAGCTGCTCTTTATGTTTTAAGCCTTGTGAAGAACTTGTGGGGAGCCTGAGGTTTTCCCGTTGCCCCTACAAAGAGGTTGTTCATCTTATGCTGGAAGCTGGTGTTTCCTCTGCTGGATTCCAGAGCAGACGGTGTGAGCTACTACCTTCAGCTCCTCTCAGTGTGTTGGAGGTAGAAGCTCCATTATGGGGGCAGATAATAATATGCCTCCATGAGCATAGTGGACATGATCAGTGCAGTTTGGAGGCAGTTTGGAGAACACCATACACCCACATGATCAGAAACTTGAGTCTTTATGGATCTAAATTTCGAAGCTCTGCTGAATTGATCCGCCAATTGGTTGCATTCCAGTTAGTCCGGCTTCCTTGGCGATGTTATACACAGGTTATACACATTCAATATAACTTTATAAATGAGTGTTTTATCTTTGCCTCATTGGTAGAAGTCCAGTTCAAATTCTCCAGCTATCACTGGGAGTAGTTTGAACTTGTCTTGATTGCCATCCTAACTGTGGGGAAGCCTGAGGAACCTACTGTGCTGTGTTCCTATTTTCCACCTCGTGTGTCTGATTGGCGCCTCTGACTCCTCGGTAGGAGCCCCTCAATCACTTTACAGTGAAAGATGCCTCACCTTTGCTGAACTGTGTCAAAACCAGGCTTTGATTTATATAAACACTGGTATCAATAAGGCCATTATGAGTTGTAGGACGAGGTGTAAATAACATAAAATCTAAATATGATTTAAATAACCATGGTATACATGTTTTTGCAGCTCTACAGATTATAAAACCTCAGATTTTTGATATGTTCTTCCTAAATTAAGAAAGCTGCTGGATACCAAAGTTTGGATAACTTTACACTATTTACTGTTGTTTTTATTTTGCGTAATCTCAAAATATAATTGAGTGCAGAATGGAAGTGATTATGGAAGCGTTTGGGGAAGATTTATACATCCAAAGCAGTAAATATATGTACTGATTGTTTTACAAGTTTAAAGCATCCTGGAGCTGAATAATATAGAGTTAGGAAAAGGCTGCTATGAGATTCCAGGGGTGTGATAACTATAATTAGGTAGATCAAAGTAACAGAAATATTGTATTAACAGAAAATAATTTAAAAAACGACTTATCATTGAATCTTTTTGATATATGAACTATCCTGACAGACATTCCACAGCAACAGCTTGGGGAGGGGCAACTCTTCTACTGACAATAGCACTACTGCTAGCAACTCAGGAAACTGACTTTTAAAGGAATAGTACACCCAAAACATGATTAGCCTTCATTTTCTACTCACCCCCATGCTGAACAACACTCTGGAGTA